CCACATCTAGTACCGCTACATCTGGCACCGAAAGACGCAAAAAAATCACAGCAAGTGTCAAAAGCAGTAATAACAATCGATGTCGCTAGTTCAATTAAATCAAACAATATAAACTTCAACAAACAGCCAATTAATTGGATCATTAAAGAATTTGTGGCTTAAACGTATCAATGATTGAATATATGGTCAATAGACGAAAGATGTTTCATTGAAAGTCTTGGTTTTAGTGTGTCAAAAAAACAATTTTGTTTAAAAAAAAAGCAAGTTCACATGTACCATGAAACAGTCAAATAGTACCCGGTTTAACAAGGCTAAGGCTGTTTTTGGTACATTTTTGTTAAATCATAAGTGTGTTCAACCTAGAAAACAAAGAAACTGGCCGAGAAAGTAGCAAAGGAAATTTTGGATTTGTATCTAGAAGCAACAGATGTGTTGCAAATGCCTGTGTTCTTCATATATGCAAAACACTTTCAAATTTAATTCAGATTTCTTTGAATGTTGATGTATAAAGGAGTGCAAGAGTATTAACTTGATTTTAGAGGATGTCAAATAACTGTTATCCTTCCTTTGACGCCACAGAAAACACAAGATTTGGTTGAGGAAAACTGTTGTAGAGGAATTGAGAAGGTCTAGTAAAGACGAAACGAAGTTTTCCTCAACCAACTCTTTTGTGTTCTGTGCGTCAAAGGAGGGATATAAGTATTTTAACATCCTCTAAAATGAAGTTTATAGAAACTCCTTTAAAATCCAAATACAACAAATATCAAGAAATATGAACTTGAGTTCTTGATAACCATGGGCCAACACCTTCGTACAATCATTTTAAAACGGCGAATTTGGAGGATCGTCTTCTTTGCTTGCTTCAAACTTTGAGACTGAATGGTAAGACGAATCAAATTATAATTTACTTTGCAAATAGAATTTTAATGTGAACGATTTATGAATACAGTTTTCTTTTTCGTTAAAACTAATTATTTTTAACTTTGATTCTTGACAACCAGGAGCRAGCACCTGCACTTCAAAGACAAGTATAACCGCAATTATATAACATTGATACGCGTGGCCAAATGGAAGCCGTGTCTTCGATTTCTAAAGGCCCGTTTATACTTGCAATTTTTGCAGCGACAATCGCCACTTTGCTCTCGCGCACCTCAAATCGTACGTGTAAACAGCCCTGCGATTAGAGACCTCAAATCGTACGTGTAAACAGCCCTGCGATTAGAGAGGTTTAGCATGACGTTCACGGCAAACGGCAGAAAAGATCACGTGATCTGCTTTTTTAGAGTTTAACGTTGCAGTTTCAACGCGAGAGTGGGTTATTTTGAGTTYGCCATAATCGTGAAAAGCCGCTCTTTCCAATGACTACCAAAAGCATAAGATCAGGCACAAAATTCTTAAGTCATTGGTTCAGCTCTGCCGTTAGCCGTTAGCGTGATGCTTAAACTCTCTATTGTCGCGGCGATGTCGCTAAATTTCAAGCATGTTCGAAGCTATAGGCGATTGCGCGCGACAATCGCGCTGCAAAATTTGCAAGTGTAAACGGGCCTTAAAGCCCGTCTACACGAGCAATTTTTATGTGACAACTATATGTGACAATTTTTTTTTCGTGTGGGCAGGCAGCAAATAATTGTTGAAGACTCGCGCCAACTGTGATTTTGCACAGCGGAGATGTCAATAAACAAAACAAATTTAAATACTATAGTTTCGTAACCATACTAGAAATAAAACTTTAAAAAATACGATATATTTTTTAATCTTAACATGTTTCAGCATTACATTATGCCATCCTCAGAAGAATGAGGATGAGAATGAGCAATTAAAAATTGTCACATAAAAATTGTTYGTGTAGATGGGGTTTAATTCAGAGGTCTGAAGTTCAAGACTCAGAGGAGCTGACTTTCTTTAATTAGATTTCGTTCTTTGTCAAAAAATAAATAAATTCAACCAAATATAGATCAGGGAACCCAGTAACTGTAACTTAATGAGTAAATTAATAGAAAAAAATTAGAATAAATTAAAATTCCAAACACAAGTTTACAGGAAAGTGAGTGACTGAGTGAGTGAGTGATTGAGTGAGTGACAGACTCGTCCCCCTCCAATAACTCTTCGATTGCTTCGCAATCTTCGAGTTAAATAAAAGGCTTACATATTCTTTGAGCAGGTCTAACACCCCTTTATCTGCAGAAATAGATATATCGTTTTCCCATTAAAATGATGAATAAATAATAATCATATTTTCTCCTTCAATCAAATAGCCTATTAAAACTTCTAGCTCGGTGATGGGTTTTTCTATCAACTTTAAAGAAGTCAAAGTGTTTTCTATTACATTCCAGAACGTTTCAATGAAATCACATCTAAAGAACAAGTGTTCTAGTGTTTTGTCTGCTGCCTTGCAAAAATGCATATGTTTCACGCTTTTCTGGTGTGCACTCTATGAACATGCTGAGCATTCATACTAACAATACCACTTGTAAATAGAATTCATTGTTAGTGTCCAGAAGCGAAATAAGGATATGGGTACCCTGTTTCCTGTGATGTTTAATTTAAGGGTATCGCTGGTGAAACATGGATACAACATGGTATCTTGTAATGAGCAACATGTACATGTATGGTAATTTAAATGGTAGGACTGCTTACCAACAGTGCTAATGGTAGCAAAAGTGTTGGTAGGTGATATTTCCTCTGTCACTGATAAACAGTACAGAGTTAATCCCTTACTATCCATTCATACAACATTCTGATAATTACAATTAACTGCAGAAGCTCAYATAAGGGGACAGGATATCAATAGACCCCTTGCATGTGACGTCAAAGCAGCTTCATCTGGAGGACAAAACAAAAGATTTTTATCCTCTTGGGAACTAGAATCYATTGTTTTGTCCTCCAGTTGGAGCTGCATTCCCATGAACTGCAAGGGGTTTATACTGCCTGTCATAATCAATCAAACAATATGCTTACATATACAGCAATATGCAGAAATTATGATCGTTTTGACACATATTTCAATGTATACATAAATAATAACAGAATTTATGGTATATCATCGCCTATATTTTTTTGAAGTTGCCTAACCCTTGTGCTTTCTGAAAAAATATTGATGATGATATTCCATAATTTCTGATATATATTTTATATAATTGAAATACGAGCRCAAACGATCATAATTTCTGCATAGTGCTGTATTTTGTCATAGGCCTGTGTTCTGCAATGTTCATATAAATGGTATGGCTATATCAACAATAGTCCACTTTTAKTTGAATGGTCATGCAAAAARGAACTGAGRGCAAGGCTCAGGAGAAACAAAAGAATTATCCAATATTGTTTCCTCGGAGCCTTGCCTTTATTCTGTTGCGCTTGGTTAGTCAAGCAAAATATTGAAAGTTGGTAAAATTTATACTAACCCTATGATCCATATCCTTTCTTGTCCAAACAAGTGACAGGGTACAATTTTTAAAAACGTAAACATACCCATATAGTCTTAAAGACCTCATCAAAATTAATAAAATCATAGAGTTTGCTGTTGTTTGCRAGAATATTTAGGAACTTTCAGCTGTTCAAAAATATCAACATTTACAAAGGAATGTATGAAAAGCTTTCCCTGCAAACTAGAGATTTATAATATATGTGAATAAGAGATTTTTGAATGGCTATACACTTTTATATTAATTTTGATGTGCTCTTTAAGATTATATACAGTAGGTCACACGTTGATTTTGGCAGTTTCCTGCTTTGACCACTTTGTCAAACTAGGATAAGGAAGCCCTATGTCTTGTGTTAAACAACTCATGAATATCACTATGCTCACCATACCAATGGCAACATTTTGAATTCATCAGTRAGCATACAGTAGATGAAATCAGGACTGGGTACCATGTGTCCTGTGGTGGTCAATCTAAGGGTATTACTGTCAGCCCTTGACTACACAGGGTATCTTGTACACTATGATAGTCAATCAAACAGTATGACTGAGCTTACAATTCRTACAAACAATACTATTTGTAAAGAGAATTCACAATAAGTGCCCATTCCCGAAACTAGGCAATGGGTTCCCTGTGTGTAGCATTGTCAATCCAAGATTATTTTATCATAGGTACAAATGATACCAATGATATGTGTACTGCTTTTCCCCCTTTTTCCTGTTCAATGAGAGCGGCTGTTGTTTTAGAAAACAACAGACTTAATTTCACAGAGAACAAAAGAAAGCACAAAAGTGTTGACAACAGCTCTAGAAATTTGAATCTTCTCTGATTTGAGGCTAAGGATGTATTCATAGAAGGCTTAAACTCTAGTTGTTATGGGAATACAGGCCAGGCATCAAATTGGAGAAAATGCAAATTTGTCAAACTGTTTTAATAAATCTTTTTGTGCTTTCTTTTGTTTTTGAAAAGTTCAACGCATGAGAATACAGTCAACTAAAACAGCAGTCTCTTCTATTKGACATGAAAAAGGTGTATTGGTATGCTTGAAATTGAGACCAATGACACCAATGATAAATAGAATTCACCACTGGTCCCCATTGGTAAAACTAACAACACAAGCCTTCACTGACCTGACGTAGTCAATCATTCAGTATTAAATATCAGCAAAATTTTACCTCAGGTCCAGAAAGTGGTGATGAACCACGTGACTTGACACAAAACCATTGTGGGCGGACAGAGGGAGGGTCATCCCCTGCTAAATTCTAAGGAGATGAAAATGTAAATAAAGTCGACAAGTGCATTGTCATAGCGAAAAGAATGTCTTCATAAAAGCAGTTTATAAAATGCCCACAGTCATCATTGGACAGAAGTAAAATTTTCAAATGCTAAATTACAACAGTTTTCATAGCAGTCATTTGCATAAAACGGTGAGTACCTGCCACATGTATGGAATGTTTGTACCAATGTAAAAGATTTACATTTGAATTTTATGATTTTTACCAAAAATTGGATTCAGAAAATAATTCTAACAATCCCCAAATTTCAAGTGCTCACTGTTCTAATTAATAACTACAATGACATCACAAATAAGGGAAGGGAAGCAGTATGGAGGTTGACTGAGAACYCCTATTGCCTACAGATGTCATGTTTGATTTAGAATTAAACCTACCAAATATGGAATACTTGCTCTTGCTATATTTATGATATTGATGTATGGGTGTAACATTTTAAGATACTTGGGGAATGGAATAGCTCTTGAAAGTTGTGTGCTGTGAAAATCAAAGGAAATTATCATTTTAGCTTTTTTACCTCCAAAGGCTAAAARACTGTGACTTTATCATGTTAATTCCTCTGATATTGAACCTCATGGGATGGAGGGTTGTGGTTTCAATTGATTGATGCATAATGCAGAGTTACAGATTGAAGTTCAATTTATGTGCCACTGTTTCACCAGTAAGTATGTCATAAAAATCCCAAATGTTGTAAWTACCTTATAACATAGCACTAACAAACAACTGAGTACATTCTTGAAATATAGATAGTAGAAAATTATAGTGCCAGAAAGATGTTATTCTGGGCAAAAGAGGCATGAAAATAAAATTCAGAAAAATCAATTCCCAATAGATCTGTGACTTGAACCCACAACCTTCAATAAATTTTGTTTTCACCCTGGTATCTCGGCTGGTAGAAACCATCAGTRGTTCAAATCTGAAGGTTGTGGGTTTGAATCCCAGCTAGGTCAGAAATTAATTTTAAACAAATTTATTTCGAAGGGTTTTTCACCCGGATATCAGCAGATATCAGCACAATAGTTTTCTACTAATTCTATTTCATGAATTTATTAGTGCCACCATTTACATATTCATATGACTGTTTTCTGGATGAGGATCATCAAAGTACTAGTAAATTAGTCTCTAAACTTCTATAATTATAACATACCCTTTTGATTTGGCTGAGTACAGATGTGCGAGTCTTAAAAAAACTGAGAAAGAAAAGTAAGAAGGTTTAGTGCTGTACAATGAGAGAAGAATAAATATGAAAACAATACATGATTATCTGTATTGTCATACATCAGTGGAATCAACAAATGAAAGAATGGGGACTACACAAATATCATCCACTTTTCTCAACAACACCACTGAAGACTCAAGGGAAACTTACCATATCCAGATAGATAGGCATCATAGCCAGCTTCATGTAGATGGCTTTTTTCAGCTAAATAAATACAGTTAATAAAATATGAAGTGGATAGCACAAAGACAACCATGTTGTTTATTTATCGACTTAAGTTATACATACATAAGTACTACTCACTTATAAGGGAACTACATGTACTGTTTTAATCTCTAGTATATAATTATATGCTGTTTTTGAGCTAATTTTATAGGAAATCGCACGGCCTTGAGTACAATTTGGAATTAATAGTCGCAAGTAATGCTTTGAAACTTCTTTGTAATTGCACAAACCCTAACAGGCTCATGTAATTTGAGAACTTTCAAAACGTAATGAGTGACTATTAATTCCAAATTGTATGAGAGGTTGTACGATTTTTTGTTTATAGCGATACTCAATGGGACATAGGCCTTTGTTATTCATGTGCCAACCAGAAGACAATTGGTTGTTAGCACAAACTGACTTGTGAAAAGCCATTCTGATCATGGTTGGCACATTAACATAAGAATGAGTTTGTTGATAAACATTGAGTATCGTTATAGTACATTCAATAAAACAAAATTTTATAAGGAGTACAGTTAATGCTGAAATTGTACTCCTCAGGACCACTGAAAAAGTATTATTTTGTTGAATGTACCAACACCCCAGATACTCCTCAGTTGCTCCAGCAAAATAAACATACATATCAATTGGCTTACCATATCTTTTGGAAATTTCTGCTAATTCAATGCTTGGGTTATACAGCACAAAAAATCTTGCCACATCACTAAACAGAGGTGATAATATAGTCATTATCTCAAAAAGGTTATTTATGCTAACAATGTGGGACCAGGAATCCTTTATACAGGGATTCTGAAATTATGTGCTGATGCGGACCTGCACAATCGGCCAATCTCCACATAATTCCGCATAATTTGTCAAAAAATCATTGTTTTTTTCCTTTTTCTACGGTCATACAAAGTACTAAAGTATCATTTTTTTAAAAAACAACAACATCGATACATGTATATGCTCACGACGCCATTTTGTTTTTATGAAATTCATTTAGTTATGGGTTTCCTGTGGCTCGGACCAAGATTCATCAATTACTGGTTTCTAAGATGGCAGACGTCGACGTTGCTTTCTTTTTAAGTTAAATGCTTTTATTGGAAAGAGCCATTTATCAATAATCCGTAATACTTTTTAAATGAAATTAGTTATATTTTAGGTTTTGAGGATGACGTCATCACACAAATTTTAAACAWTTTCACGCATGTTATGTTCAAATGTTCAGCCAAGACGAATGATATCAACTGACTTTAATTGCACGATTCTGGTTTATACACATACACAAATACAATACATGTTTACTTTACAACGATTAGCACTATTATAACAACCCATAATTAGCAGGGTTTTTTTGCATAATCATCCCTGAAAATCCCGCATAATGTTGATTTTTTTCTCACATAATGTCAGAATCCCTGTTTATGCACATACAAAAACTAATTCAGTTAATGAGCTGTAAGATGATTGACCATTCAATGTCAGCAGATGTTTATATAATTAGTGTTTTATGTTTAATTTAGTGTTTTTATTTGGAAATGATGATCCATCTTAATATTAAAATATTTACCTGGTAAGTGCAGTGTACAATTGGTCAAGATTGGTGCTATCAAGAAAAGTACAGTTGTGTAAAATCTACACAAAAAGGAATATTTAATTAGTTTGTATTTTTTAAAAACTTGACTTTTTGCTATTGATTTCAGAATCACCTCAAGTCGGCGTAGTTTGAAAGCTAGCTGTTTAGTGTCACAAACGACAGGGAAAGCCTCATGAAGAGCTCTCTTGAATTCATCATATTGATCTGTAATATACCAACAAAACTTTCAAATGTTTTAGTAGCACACACTCTAAATCCAAGAAACAATAGAGTACAAACACTAAAACTGTGCAACATAAATACCACTAAATACTGCTGAATTATGCTAATTCTATTGTTTTCTATTGTTTAATTACCACTAATTTTGTAGTAAATAGCAGAAAGTATTGCACGCTTTTAGTGTTTGTACTCTAGTACTAATTACTACTAGATAAAGTTGATTTGACAACAGAATTGCTATTTGTATGTAATTAGTAAATCATACTCAAGGAGCAAGGGGCAAGGCAAGGTGCAATCACTACATGTATACATACCTGGTAATGGACAAATGAATTTATCATAAACAAGCATCAGGTCTGTTAACAAGTTATGACCTACAATAGGCTAAACAGCAATTAAATTTAGTCATTAAAAGGTCAAATCTCTAATATGTACATTCATTCATTTACCAGAAATTGCAATTGACAACAACTGTACCTTTTTAGTCTTGACCAAAAGTTGAATTACTCTTGAAAATCCCACTATACTCAAGAATATTCTGAAATAATGGAATGTTAACAAAATACTTCATTATAGAGTTGCCAATCTTAAAAGGAAGCCCTGCCTTTGCATTAGATTAAGTAACAATGYGCTAAAGAACTAGGGAAYTCTCTATTGTTCTGCGGCATAGCAAGTTCCCCATTTACGAATGTCTTGGTTTTCACACTGATTATGTATTAACCTGTGGGTAACACATTTTTGAAATAAAATGTGGATAAACTCTATTTTGAAACAAAGTTTCTGTTGTATTAAAACCTCTTATCCAATCATAAGCACTCAAAACAATAGCCAAGAGAAGCTTCTAATTTGCTATGTTCCACACATAGAATTGCCTTAATCATCATCATTATTCAGAAATAAAGAAAGCTTTCATGAAGTCGGAATCAGATATTAAATAAAATATTAGCAAATTTTCTTGTTGAAACCAATAGATGGGATGGATGGATTATAAAATACACAATTAGCACCTTCTWGCATTCCTTTGCCATTTGCTTCGCTAGTTCTTACTCGGGCMATTACTTAAGCAAGACAATGGTACACAGAACAGCTGTGTATGATTGTTCTTATGGTTCTTATGACAGAAAGAAAATGTACAATGGTTCGTCACTGCAGGCACAACTCCTGTCTCACTATGATGTGAAGTCTTGGGTACCTATGAAGGTAGGTATTCCTGGACAAAATAAAGGCATCTATGAAGTAACTTACCTTCCAACCTCTTTTTGAAATTTAGACTCAATATTTTCGTCTGATGAACATTTTTTTGTAATAACAATCTAGGTAGCAATTAGAGAATCAAAGTTAAATGAATATCATGTATTAAAATTCACTGGTAACCAGTTATTCTTTACTATACATGTATACACATGTATGCTATAAAAAGAACATCTGTTTCTGGAAATGTCCCCAAAAATACATTTGTCTATCCAAAATGGTGGACATTTGAACTTTTATTCAAACAAAACTGTTTGACTACCATCAGAACTAGGCCTTAGACATGAAACAAGGAAATACATTTATGGACAAAAGCAACTTTGTTACTTCAGAATTACAAAATTTTTTTGCTACATTCTATAGTCTAGACAGCTGTTCTTATTATTGCAAGCTCCAACAACAACCTTAAATTGATGGAAAGGTAAATAACTGCAGTTATATATGAGGAAGAAAAAGTTTTAGATTACCCTGAATCCATCCTGTACTTTACAGTTAATGTTTCTGTGCTTGAATTGATTCTTTAATTCAATGAGAAGCATATATTGTTTGATATCTGTGAAATAAGGTACATGTTGGTAAGTATTATATACATACACATATCATAATAATTATAAACATAAAGCTATTTACTACAACAAAGTGCTAAGTAGACAATAGAAAACAACAAAACAACAATCTACATTTTCAAGCTTTCAGCGTTTGCACTCTATTATCTATACTCTAATTTAATCAATGCATACAGGTAGAATAAACTTATTGATATAAGTTAAGTCTGGTTATTGTCACTTAAATATGCATTTTACCCTGGCTTGGCTAAGACATTTATAATCTCTATTCTACTTTTCTACTTTAAACATTGAAAAAAATCACGAATTCATTCTATCTTAGAATAGTCACAATATTATATAAATAGAATTTAGTACTTACAATTTTCTGAATTGAATGTCATTTCATCCCCTTCCTTTGCTGATTGTAACCATAAGTCTGTCTTTGCAATTTCAGCCTTGATTTCTTCATCAAGATCTCTGCATTTGTTGATTACAATGTATTTGTTTTAAACTTACGGCAGATTCCATATGTAAGAGGACAGGCATTGCAAACAAATCTTTATAATCTCAAATTGTATTTAAGTGTGTTTCAAAGTAAACTAGTCAGGCCTACATCTTATTCAGAAACATGCAAAATCAAAAAATATCAAGTACATGTTTGTAATGTTTGTTTTACAGTCACATGGAATCTGCTGCAAATACTAATATACATGTAGTAATATAACTCTCTTAATCAGTACCATTAAGAGATAATTTCCAGGATACAGGGACACTTTCAAAAAATATTACAGATACATGCTTGAAAACATTATTAAAACGTTGTTTTCAGGCAGAGTTTTGAAAAATGCTTACTATATATTTTTTGCCCCAAAGTTCCTCATTTTAAGTGAGTGTCTGCGATATTATAAAAAGTGCTTGCATATCCCAGAAATCATCTATTCCCTTACCCAAGTTTGTAAGATGTCATGTTACAATGAAGAGTATGGTTTTCATGCTGTGTTTTGATTTCTTTCTCCTGATATCCAAATAAAAATATCAAAAATTCCAATATTAGTCTACTCACTTAAATTATTTACATACACAGTTTAATTACATATTCATACCTCTTCTTTATTCAGGTATGGAACACCTTCATGAATGAACTAAAAGACAACAATAAGGCAAATCAAGATACTTGCTAGAAAGGAGAAATTCTACACCAAAACTTTTCAAATTGAATGTTATTTTGAAAAACACCTTTTTAAAATCATAATATCAGGATACATGTAACCATCCCAAAATTAGAAATGAAAGGCCAAAAAATGCATTTGAAAAGTCATTTTCAGGAATTTCACTGTTAACACATCATTATAGTGTAGCGTCACTGACAGAGGTCACTCAAATGTAATACCAATCATATCTTATTGTCAGGTCAGACATGTAGTCTGCTACTGGTAACATTGTAACCCAGTACAACCTGCCTCATGGACGGGTCGTCGGCGTCTAAACCGGCACCCCCACCAGTCTACACTGGTGAGGAGGGTGGCATGACACCCAGCAGGACTAAAAACAAAACCNCAAGATACTTGCTAGAAAGGAGAAATTCTACACCAAAACTTTTCAAATTGAATGTTATTTTGAAAAACACCTTTTTAAAATCATAATATCAGGATACATGTAACCATCCCAAAATTAGAAATGAAAGGCCAAAAAATGCATTTGAAAAGTCATTTTCAGGAATTTCACTGTTAACACATCATTATAGTGTAGCGTCACTGACAGAGGTCACTCAAATGTAATACCAATCATATCTTCTTAAAAATATAGGCGTTGTCAAATAAAAGTAAACTCATACTGCTATGTGTCCCTGGCCTCTAGAGAGACCAAGATGGTACTAGCAAGTTCCTTGCTATTTAATTCTACACTTCATATATCAGTAATCCATGTATCAGAGTTCAGAAGAAATATTATGAAATTTTGTATCACATTTACCTTGTTGAAATTAAACTTGTTTTGACACAGAAATTCCAGGCTTGATGTCTTTAAGAAAAATGACCAGTGATTAGATTAGTCTAATATCAGGTATCGATTTATATTTTATTCTTGATATTCCTAAAAAATTGTCTCTATCCTGACACAGAATAATGGTTACTAAAAAAAACACAAAAACCCAGACACAAATAAACCTAACCTTTTTTAGACAGTTCATATAGATTTTTTATGTTATTATGTACCTGACATAGAAATCTGCAATCAACAGGACCAAAGGAGGGTTGGAACAGGTAAAAGTTATAGGTATATGCTGTATACCTTGAATTAATCAAATCAATGTCAGTCACTATTCAGTAATTTTATTAACTTCATAATGTCTCATAAAAATGAAATTTTTTTTAGAACCAAAAATGTTTTACAATAAGTTAGTATTCTTTGAGGTCCACCTTTCTTTTTTAAATTTATTAATACTAGTCTCTCTCCATAACAGGAATATCTAGACAACRTTATTGAATATACCTGTTTAGTTCTTCAGTATTCTCTACAAAGGCACAAAGACCTGCAAGACAAGTAACAGAGCTAATTGCATGACTGAAAGCTAGCATGGGCATTCAGTTTTTGATGGACAATATTTACTGATCTGCATAAAAACAGAAATTCAAAGAAGCCATCGTGGTTTAATGGATACTAAAGTGTCCACTACCTTTGCCAAGTGCATATTGTCTTTATAAGTATTACCGACAACCTATTTTGAAATAGCTATAAAATAGGTAGGAGTATACAGTAGGTATAAATGTTTTGGCTCAGATTCTGAATTTTGTAAGCTAAGGATTTTCATACTGGGCACAGAACCTTGTAGTCTTTGTGCTTCTCCTCTTTATTAGATTAGCATTTTAATAGACTATCTAAAAAAATGCCATCATCACAGGCCTGACATATCAGGTCATACATCATCCAAGATGTGCTCAGATTTTTGAATTTCAGAGTGCCTGAGTTAATGAGTAAGCATGGCCCAGATTTTGTCATTCCAAACAAATCTACATTAAGTTTCTTAAGTTTATGAAATTGCATGTCAGATATTTTGTATTTATTTTTTGGAGATAACTACCTACCAAACTGGGAAATAACAAATTGAGAGACAGACTTCTTGAGCTTTTTGTATCTTGTTGAAGCATTGTCAAAAAGGCTGCAAAAATGATCAAACAAATGACTGGTCAATTACAAAGTGATAGCAACCATGTATTTTCAGACTTGATAACATTACCTGTAAACTGAGCTGTCATTTAGGGACAGTCCTGTAAATTCTGCATCTATAGCTATTCAGGAGAAAGACCACATATATATTAATGCATATACAATACCAGTGTTTTGATTGAAAGCTGATGCAAGAGGTTACTACAACAAAGCAGCTTTATAGAACATAAATRTAAATAATTTCCCATCATATTTGATGCACAAATGACCAACAGCAAAAAGCAAGCCAGTGGCAACTGAGGCTGCACTGACATCTAAAGTTAGTAAATAACTCATAATTTTTTCACTGCCATTTTCCACTTATTTAATAACAAAAAGGTTCCAATTTTCTGTGTTTCTGTTCTCTTGTAAATACACAGATGAAGAGTGAGAACAAAAAAAAGTATGCCATGAGATGAAGCCAAGTGACATGACTGTTGTTCTCGTTACATTTGGACATCTTCTGTGCATCTACTGTATTAGAGTATAGACGCAAGGCAAAATAGGATTCATTTGTTTTATAGAATATTTTCCTATAATTTTTTCCCAAAGTGCACGTAATTTCATAGAAGTGGTTGAACAAACACAATAAAGCRTGCACACTGGTTATGACCAATCAGAGCGCAGGTAAGATTAAATGGTGTCATCCATGTGTGTGTACTTTTTAAAAACACCCGGTTCTCGACTAATCCAAGAAGACGTAATAAACCAAATATTATACTAACATCCATTAGTGTACTATTCAGAGGATTCCTGGGAGCTACAGAACCAACTAACTTCAAATGTAAAATATCTAAGAATACCACTTATAAAACTTTTATTTTTTAAGGCATAAATGCAACACATGTAAATTCACCGAATATCTGATTATTTCTTTGAGCGACAGAACTTTTGATGTCAGCACACGTGCAAACAGAAATGACGTTTAGACAGTATGAAGATATGCACGTCGTTGGCCATGGCATGTTTTTAATGTCGTGCGAAAATACCATTAATAGTGATATTCAGTATATATACAAACTACTTTATAAAAGATTAGGCGTGAAATTTCCCTTAGGGTTAGGCGTTAAAAGTCTTAAATGTCACGGGGCGATTTAGGGGAGGCAACAACTGGCTGAGTGTCTTGAAATGTTTTGGCGCGAAATTCTTTTAACTTGTCCTTTTATCATTACCTACGAAGGAGCTTTTCTTGATTACATCCTCTATCTCATGGAAACACTCTTCGAAGTTACTGCGTAGAATTTCACACATTCTGAGACCGCAGAGAGGCTCTGAAAATACAAGATCTTGCCGTTGAAATCCTTGCAACTCCGTAAATCCTCTACTCTTGCAGACCTTGAATTCCGAGCCTTCGATTGTCTTGGTCAGCGCTAGTTCTAGGCCTCTCTCTATCATGGATTCGACATGCGTAGGTCGATTTTCTTTTCTAAATGAACTGTAAGTAAATGATTTATCATGAGTGAAAGCGACGATACACTAGATRTAGTAGATGATGAAAGAGATGATCTTTCTGAGGATTGCACCTCCCCTTCAATTCTTACTGGTTTTGTTCCCGCTAAATCTACTAGTTTAGCAAAAACAAGGTAGGTTGTTCTCACGCATCCTCCACTTAAAAAAAGTTTTTCTTGTAATTTTTCTTATTTTCCTTCTATTATAACTTAAATATGTGGAAATCAATATTGTATTGTACTAAAGTCTTTCATTTAAAGCTTTATAGTCAAACAGTTCCTTGACAGCAAATTGTCTCTTTTATACAGCTTCGTCGCTGAGTCTAACGAGGCAAAAAGGAGTCCTTCAAGAAAACACCCAAATTCACTTGACGATATAACTGCTTCACCTCAATACCTCCCAACATTCCCTAAGCTCCAAAAGATCGACAAAATTCTAGACGATGGAACTCTCTTTGTACCAAGTAGCTGTTCTCCCCCGTCAACCCAAGATGAATCATTTCAAAGCAGTCAGGAGACGGAGGGAGAAAAAGACGAGATATTTTGTGTTTCTGAACGAGTGAGAGAGGTCGAAATGCAAGCAGACATCTTGGCTAAACTAAAGGAAAAAGGTTTGATAAATCATTTTAGTAGTAACAGCCAGTATTATTATTTTATATTATATATTAAGACAAACAAAAATATGGATGGTGGTTAAAATGTAGTTGAGCTACCTGTGCTAATGTTGTTGATATTATTTATATTTCTTCATGCTACTAATATACTGGTTTGCTTTTCCAGCCGTTTCCCATATTTATCACTCACACCCTCGTAGTCAAGTCGCAGCCCCTTTTTAGCCCACTCCCTTGATTGTCGCGGGGGAAAAGGCCCAGAAGAACTTGCAAATTTATATTTTGATTATGCATGAATGCATAATTAACTCAATGCTTCATTAAAATAAACCTAAAAGACACGAAACACTCACAACACTGTACATAGACTAGCTTGGACACACCACATATCAACCCATGCGCATGCAAGTTCTTCTGGGCTCTTCTGGGCACTTTTTATTCTACCCGAAGTTCCACGGGGCGGGCTAATAAGGGTCTGAGACTGGACTATCACCCTCCCTTCCTTCCCCGAGCATAACAAACAGGGATTTGACAAGACTTACTTCAGTACAGTGCTAACAACATTTAAGTGCTTTACCAACATTAAATTTTCATTTCTTTTCTCTCCAACTGAGCTGCCATTATTCTTATTATGATTATGGGTTTTTCTTTTTTTTCACTGATTGACATTTATTTATTTAATGAAGGAGTTCCTGTTAAAGCTTCCAAAGAATTCGCAAATCTCAAAGAAAAACTGATACAAGTTCGTGTACTCCTGTCAAGTCTCACCCTTACACAAGACATCGACATTCTGAACGCATCCAAACAAGATGTCGGCTCTCTTTCGTCCAAGCAAAAGCGTTTGGTCGATCTTTTCAAAAGATGCAAAGACGCAGTTTCAAGGATTCAGTCCCTTAAACGCGATGATAAAGTTATTATTGAAGATTCAGATTTTAACAAAATACCATGCATTTTGCCTGGAGTGTATACTACGAGACAATCATTTGGTAGTAAGGCTGATGATACTCACAAGACTTTTGCCAGGAAGGAAGAAAATGATGATACGTCCGGTATCCAGGACGAAGATCAAGAGAACGTCGTATCCAGATTCTGTGATCTCGACACAAGACTAAAACGTGGGGAAATAAACTCAAGAGAACAAGAAGAAAGCTTTAATRCCAATACAGAGCAGGCTCAATTACCATTAACTGAACACAATCGCAAAGACTTAAATTCAAGGATTCTACCAAATACTTATTTTACAACAAGCACAGTGAGTACTCACTGTGCCGCTGCGTCCACTATTATTGGCATGCAGGGAAATGCCACTGAAGCAAATGGGACATCTTCTACGTTAGGTTCACGCATGCAAGAAGTAACTATAGGTACAACAATCACCCAGACCACATCTACACCAAGCCTATGCAAGTACTCTGTAGCTGCAAACACACAAGTGTATGTTATAACTGGAAACATCCCTACTTTAGCAACCACACATTCTACCGAAGACCGACAAAGATGCACTGTTGTTAAGGCTATTTCTTTACCTGTGAGCTTATCCACTTTTGCCATTTCTTGTGCAAATACTTCCTCCACTACAAATTCCCGAATACGCACAATTGTAAGACCGATTTCTCTTCCCGCTTCAAATTTACAGACAAACTCTATGTCATCGCAACAAGAATTGGCTGTCATCCATGCAGATAAGATGAACGTTAACAAGGGTATGATGCTGCCTCAACCTGTGTTGAACACCTCGACACATTTACTGGCATCCAACGTTGCTAGAGCAGCATCTCTGCAACCAACACATACAGCTCGGTCCTCATCACAAATAAGCTTCGTCGCACAAACTGATGTAGCAGCACGCTCACCTGCAACATTATCCACGATGACAAGTCCATGTGCCTCAACTTTGGTCAGCACGGGTCCACTACCAACGTCGTCTTTTTTAAATGCACAGGTGTACAGTACAACGTATTCTACACAATCTATGACATCAGCCATTCTGAGTTCACAGAATGTGACAGGTGGGGTTGCTGTTAGACCGACAGCTAATACTAGGAGCTCTCAGCATTACAATTCAAGTAGAACAGCACCCTACACTACAAACCTACAGACAAATGCCATAATCGCCACAGCCACTGCTTCAACGACTGGATCTTCTCATACTTCAACGAAAGCCGTTTCCCTACCCCCGACAGTCTCCTATACAAGCTCATTTGTCACTACCAAACCTGTGGCCATTTCTTGTATAAATGGCCAACCGCCGGGCATTAGATCGCACGATCTGCCGAAAACAGTTTTGCCAGCGTCGCGACCTGTGGAAATCACTATACAGAAAAGTACAGCACCAAGTGATAAAAGTAATGATTATTCAAAGAGCAGTCAGCGTCGAGCGATTATCCCAAGCAAGGTAAAATAGAAACATAACAAATAGACAAACACACAATACATGCACAACAAACGAACGACTAACTATAATTCAATTAATTAATTGATAGTTTCTTAGTAATAAGTAATAGACCTCAGCGCAGCTTAACGCAAATTGCGCCATTCTGCTCGCTATAGTATCCCAAAAATATTTAAGTGATGAAGAATAACACCACTTCTTGCTTTTTCTAAATGCAAGAAATTAAATTTTGTGTTTCAGAGACAAGATTTTACTGGTCGGCCAGAAGTTGATATTGTTACCTTACTTCGACATAAAGTTATATCTCCCGGTTATGGAGTATTGTCTGTAATAAGTCAGGTAATTGATTTTGAATTGATTTTAACAAAATCTGTTCAAGATTGAAACATTCTTCACAAAGTCAATGTGCATGCAAGTACTATGAATCTACGAGAAGGAGACTCCCGACACTATTTTTAAGACGAAAGATATAATGTTCGTCGTCAAGCGCGCATTGGGTCCGTTTTTTTAACTTCAGCGAATGTGACACAAAATTCATAAAAATTAATTGGCCATGAGTGTAACAAATAGAAGGTGTGACTGCGCAATGGTTTGATTTCATTAATATATATCCACCGTTACAACGTGGAGTACATTTGTTCAAACTATATCATTTGAGTGAAAACACCCAGTTACAGTAATGATAAGAGTGGCCCATGGTAGCGCAAAAAATAAAAAAAATGAATAAATAAATACAAATAAATAAAGTAGAATGGAATATTTAAAAAGATGATTGTAGGTTGGATTTAACTTCATAGTGTACTTTGCTGCATCAACCTTGGCGTTGAATAAAATAAAACCTAGCTTTCGACCTAAGCGGTCATCTTCATGGTTACAATGAATCTCGTTACAATAACATAATAATAATAATAAACATTGTGTTTGTTGTCTTCAGGGAAGAAAATTCGAGGCATCCTTAAAACCAAACGGTAATATCGAGTCTACTGGAGGAGAGATCTTTCACACGYCAATGGCATGGCTTAAGGCAGTAACAGGGAGTAAGACTGCAACACGTCAACCAGTTGCCTACAGCAAGGTTAGATGAATCAGTCGAGAATCGCGCTAAGAATACACTGTTGAAATCTGCAATTGAGCATGAATGACCGGCGCGTGTACAATATGTAACATAGCTAGTATTATTAGTATCCTAACTGTTTACCATAGTAAGGATATATTTATACCCTATTTAGCTTATTTTAATCATGAGTGACATGAGTATTAACTATAACTGAACATCGTTTCTACAGATATTTTATAAAGACAAGCCTTTGGCAGCATTTACTATCCCCAGTAATTCCACGCTCGATAAAGCTGATGGGATTCGCCAAGAAACTCCAAATGGCTCTTGTGAAGCACTTGAAGTACAACAGATGGGAAATGACAGCATTTCATCGCTTGACTTGTCCAAACTCCTTCACGCAAACTGTAAAATCCATCTAATTTCAGATCTTGAACTGATACCTACAGCTAGTATTTTACCTCATGACTTTTGGAAAAGAAACTTTGATGACATTGACATCGATCCTAAATTGCTTGATTTTTGATGGATACAAGTGCATTTAGTCTTCAACATTTAGGTTTTGGTCTTTGTAAATTTTAAGAAGATGAATAAATACCACAAGAAAACACATCCGCCCGTACTGTTGGCTGCAAGGCGCAGAGGCGCAGCACTGTTGCCATTTCTGTCGTCAGTACATCCTCGAGTTAACAAAGAAACACAGGGAGCCCAATTCAAAGATAACATAAACTAAGATAATTCACAGATAATTTGATACATTAATAGTAATTATTAAAGGAATCCTCCTTGAATAATATAAACAAATGGGTTACCAGCAAAAGCAGAATACATACCGTATGTACAAAATTCGCGCGCTGGAAGTTCAAAGGCGCGCAAGCGCAGAAGAAATACCGTTGCCAAGTAACAAGTAAGCGGCCATATTGTTTAGTGTTCTGTAAAGATTGAACGAAGTCAAATCATTTCAAAAATACCAGATTTTCTATAGCTTAGAATCATAGATATTTTATAAAAATGACTGTTAACTTAGAGGAATATTTTAGAACCACATTTGAGGATAAACTCCTTGTGTAAGTATGAAATATTTCAATCGACATTTCAAAGATTACATTAACTTAAGTAACTTAACTTATAGTAGCTTACATCCAGGTGTCTCGAATGTTTCTGATTATATTTCTTGTTCAATGTTGGTGTACGTTTATAGGAAAATGCCAGAGCGTGAAGATGATCATCTCACGCCGGCGACAAGACTGCTTGAAAAGAGAAGAGAGATGTCTGAAGTTGAACAAGCTTTGGCAGCACAAAAAGAGGTAGGATTATAGAAACAAGACACTGGTTCACCTTCGACATGGGTTTTTATGTTTTGGTGGTCCACACTGAAAATTTTTTCTACTTTTTGTGTTTTCCCTAGTTCACACATTGAATATTCCCTTCTCCTTGTGCTTATGTTGCAACAATGCATTTGATAAAAATATTTAACTAAGTTATAGCTGATAAATTTCTATTTCTGTGTTCCCTGTGCCACTTACTTTTTACATTCTCCCTTACCATGAGGGAACTTGGGCATCAGTGAACCAAACAAATGTGTAGAGTACAATATTATAGAGAGAAAATTGATTCATCGACACATGTTTTCTAAACTTTTTGGGGGGACAGTACATAAATGTCCTATCTTATAAACTTTAAATGATGAAAATTAAATAAATATTCACTAACTTAATCCCATTTTAGATGCATTCATTGATGAAATTATATATTTTTTTTGTAAAGGAATTTCAAATGAAGATGGAAAGTTTACAACAAAGAAGAGAAGAACTGGAAAGAAAGGAATATCAGCTAAAGGAATCACTGTTGAAATTTGACAAATTCTTGAAGGTAAAATATCAGGCGTCTGATTTGAACACTTTATGTCATATTTACATGAAGATTTTCCTACAACAAGTCATAAGATTTTTAGCTGTTGTTCAAAATCCTACTACAAATTATAGGTTGTCTACAACTGTTGTAGGCAAGTTGTAGGGGCAATTTCACAGGAATCCTAGCATGTACGTGCTACTCCATGCTACATCTTTTTGTGGTTATTCCCGTCTTAACATGGGTAACCACTATGTTATTATGAATAGTAATAAGTAAGTCCGTAACGCATTGTCACATGATTTGAGGTAACCCCACTTTACCCCCCTGAATTCAAACAATCACAATTGAACCTAACTCCCATCTCCCAACGCTGCCTGAAACTATGAGTTGTAGAAAAGTATAGCGTTGCCTACATGTATCCATGACATCCATGCTTTATAACAAAAACTGTCTGTTATATATGAGAATGTTGTCACATATTAATCAATGTGCATTGTGTAATAATCACATTCAATGATACGTTAAAAGCCTCTTGTTGATTGAGGTTGGACACAGATCACTTTGGGAATTGTTTAGTTTATTAATACAAAACTAAGAACCAGGAACCATATGTGCGTGTTATTCTTTATTTTTTGCATTCTCTGGATCCTAAACATGTACTTTCTTTGCATTTAGTTTGTGGTATTGCTGGTATGGGCTTTCATAGTTAATCTTGAAAAGTGCACACCTGCACTTTGAGACATGTTTTGACTCACAAATACTTGCATAATTCTATCTAGTTTTCATCAGTGTCAGCTGTTTCATCAGTCATTTTAATTAATTGAATCTAATCTGAAGTTGAAAGTTTTTTCAGATGAAAGTTTCGTGCACCTGGAATTTTCATTTAGGTCGATGTTTAAATTTTTCCCACAATCATTCTATTTAAAGCATTCATTGGATGCTAGGTTGTTAGCCAATGAAAATAAACTTGCATTGTGAAGGTAAAGAGAAGCCATTTGCGGCTGTTAGTAGGTCAAAAGACTACAATCTTGGTGTACGCAGCAATAATCCCACATATTCCAATTTATCTTTCGGGTTTTGGAGTAAACACATGCTCTCTAAGACCGACTATAATTAAATATGGGCTAAAGACCTGCAATATTTCTGTATAATGACACTGTCCATTTAAGACATTAAAAACTGTATACAGCTAAGTATTTGATTGATATTTGAAGGAAAATGATTCAAAAAGGGCCAGRGCACTGAAAAAAGCTGCAGAAGAAAGAGAGATGAGAAGAGCAAAAGACAGAGAAATTGCAAGGTAATTAATATCACTAAATTCAATTTATATAAAAACAAGAAAAAACCAATAGCAATACACATGTAAAAGCAAAAAAAAAAACTTGCTTTATGAATCTGCAAGATTTTGAGCACTAGTTATCATAAAATACAGATTCCAGACTCTTGGCTTTTAGAATTTCTGATGAGCACTTACATGTACAATGTAAATGTTTTAGGCTAAAAGAAGATACCACTTGTCTGGCAAAAGATAGGGATAAAATTCAAACAAAACTGGAAAAATTCTTCATATATCAACAGTACTTGGAAAAGGTCTTAGAATGTGCCGAGGAGGTTGGTTAACATAAAATGTTAATAATACTAAATGTTAATCATGTTATTCATTTGGAATGGTAAAAAGTTATTGTTGATTATAATATATTGGACATTGTCATTGTACATATGTTTTTTGATTTGTATAGTTTCAGGAAATAAGAGAAATCATTGCAAGATATGATACACTTACAGCAACACATCAGGTTAACTTAAAAACACAAAAAAGCACAAAAAAAATATTTATCTTCATATAATCAAGCTGGTCACACTTTTCCAAGCTGACGTAAATACTTAAAATACTTAATACAACAAACATTCTATTATTTCTAGGATTTACTGGAGAGAGAAACAAAAAACCAGGAAAAGTATGAAAAAGAAAAAGGGAGGCTCGTAAAATTTACAGAGGTATAAAATTAAAATTTTTACTCAGTTCAATAAAACATACATTTACTTTATATAAATTTACTATATAATAATAATTAGATATTTTAATTGTTATATTTAATTTTTCAGGAGAAAAATAATGAAATCCTTAGTTACAATAATCAGGTAAGCTTTTGGATTATTTTACATTGCAAATGAATTATAGACAGTGATAAGAACTATATCATATTGTAAATGTTTGTAATTTCTTGATGGGAGAGTATTAAATTAATCTTTAAAATCTTTTGCAATTTTATATTTTAGTTGGCAAATCTACAGACACAACTGGAAAAAGCACAAAGTCTAGCAGTAAAATGGTACAAGTTTATTCAAATGTCAAATTATCAAACAATTTTTTTGTGTATTTCTTGTAAGTATGTTGATTGATTTATAACAAACACATTGGGCTCAGTATGTTAAAACATAATATGATACTCAGTGAGAGAGTTTGGGTTTTTGTCCAATTTAGTCAAAATGAGACATTGTAGTGCATACCATATATGAAGATGCCACATCACTTTACCTTATATGGTTTAGGATCATTTTCTTATTCAATTTTCTTGTATTCAAAGGGAATCACAGTGGACACACATCAAGAATACAGCTGCCAAGAAAACTCTACTTTTGGGTAGAATTAAAATGTGAGTTAAAATATTATGATAGACTATATAAATAATTAATTTTGAATGTTGTTGATATCAAAACTATCGCAGTGCTGACTTTTTCCCTTACTTCGTCAAGAAAAATCACCTTTAGTTTACATAAATTATTTATTCAAATTTCTATTTTTTATGCTTTGAGTGGTTGACAAATCCCACATAATTAAAATTGTGAAATTCCCAAAAGTGGTCACTAAAAAGGGCTAACTGCTGTGATCTGAAATCCCTCATGCCTCCCCCCCCCCCTTACTGTGAGTACAAATATTTCTAAACAATATGTTATAATGCATGTTTCTGCCTTCAGAATGTGTACCAGGTTCCTCACATATACACTCTGCTTTAGATAGATATTAAATGTTTATTGTGTTTCATTTCTTGACAGGGCAACACATAACCTGTTCATGCTTGTGAATCGACACCTTGGTCAGACAGGCGCCATAGAACAGACAGAAAAACAACTAGAAAAGGTCAGTCATCATTCTTATGGCAAAAATAGCTCTTTACTTTGTTTTGAATAACCATTTTGTAAATACTATTGCAACATTAACCTTGCTGTGCATTGTCTGCAAACATTTTGGCTGTGGACTGTTCATAATTCACAATTTTCCAAATTTTGGTCAGTTACTGTATAATTGATTGTTAATTGATTGTTTATGGGACRCATGGGTGGCCRAGCGGTGAGAGCGCTGGCCTGTCACCTCTGTGGACCCTGTTCRAATCTYGGTCGGGGCGCCATATGTKATTTGAGTTTCTTTCGTTCTCTCCCTTGCGTCGAGGGTTTTTCCTGATCTTTCCGGGTTTTCCTCCCTCAGTAAAAACGAACCATTKCTATCTGCTGTGCTCCACGTTCAGTCGTTCGTTGCTATGTAAAGGAAGCGCCTAGCCGGCAGCACGCCTATGTGTAAGTGTCTGTAAAATGTGTCTGTGATATAGCATTTCGACTTGAGAGCGCGTCRAGCTGCGTCTTTTGCAATTCAGCACCCATGCTGCCATGAAGGACGATTAGCACCCAACACCTTTTCCTTTTCTTTCCTCTAACATCAATTTTATTGTATTATTTTATAGATTCAAGTCTTTATTCAAGACCTTACACAAATTACAACTGAGATTAAGAGAGCTGAAAGCACTACATTTGCATCACAATAAACCATGCAATATAAATAAAATGCTTGTAACATGTAAAATGTAAATAATGGTTCAATTTGAATGTAAATAAAGTAATAGAAAGGAATAAAGAGGTCAAAATGTTTTTAGTATGATTAAGAAATCAAGCAAATAGTCACAACRTAAACATTTATTTCCATTTTAATTCATGAACAGTCCAAAGGGAAAATTGAAAGAGAAAAAGAAAAACATGCACTTATGCAATTGGGGGAGAAATGAAAGTCATCAAAATGGTAACTTGAAGAACATTTATGCATCACCTTGGATTCCCCATTTTAGTYACTTATGATCCTTTCATCCTGAGACTAATCCTCAAGTTTCAGAAAGTCTATATATAGGTCTCACACCAGTGGCAGTCCAACTGAGGCTTTGGATCCTCTATCTTAAACACAGGAAGACCAACATAAATATAGAAATGCCCGTTTCTGGTGGATCTCCCATATGGGGATTTGGGATGACAAACAATTAYAATAAATGAAATACAGGATAAACTTACAAGTGAACGAGATTCAGCATAAATGTGTTTTTTACACCGATTGAGGTATTATGTTGCGGTTACCCTGTGTAGCTTGGCCGCAAAGACTGTCACACGTGACCGGTCGTCCCGCTCATTTTGACGTTCAAACCGAAGTGTGCGTTCTTGAAACAAATTTTCGAATATCTCGCTTTTAAATAATCCTGTTAATAGAATTGCTTCTTATTAGTGTTATAGATGTTATATTAAGCGGCCATTTKTAGTATGGATCCGAATGTACAAGGTTTAGTGGACGTTTTGCAACAAACTTTCTCGCCTGACACGGCGGTTCGAAAGCAAGGTAATTTTTAACTTGAGCTTTTGACTTTTTGTCGTGCTCACAATATAAAACTCTCCTATGTATAATTCCTTATTCCTCTTTACTAAGTTGTATGRCTACGTTCTTGCTATGACATTTGGCTAGTATGAGATTTAATAGAGACAATTTCAGCCATATAAGCTTATAAGCTTTTGTCAAGCTCGGTTCAAGTTTTGTACAAGTTTTCAAATTTGTACATTTCTTTTTTTTCATTCAACTAGCTAGACATAAAACCCTATTAAATAGCAGAAAATCATTTCCACCAGTTTTTTTTTCAATTTTTACTCAATTTGAAAACTGTGTTTGWAATAGAGGGTATGGAAGTGGTCATCTATAGTATTTTTATTGAGGATTATGCATACAGTACTATCTGGGAGTACCATAATAACACAATCTGTGGTACATACAATATAAGCTTAAAGGATATTGAGATACTACTGAATTYGAAGTCCAAGCCTTGAAGTGGAAAGATACAATTTTTATTTGAATTTATCGGCTAAGCTGGAAGTTTTTAATCACTCTTTTTATTTAAAACTATCCTGGTATGCAGGGCTGTCATCTCTCACTGGTAAGCTGAGAATCTCAAGATTTTGAGTTGTACATATCTCAAAGTCTCAAGATTACAATGTAAAATCTCACAGTCTTTCACAAATTTTAAATATCTCCTGTTTTTAATGGAAATCAAGAGAAAAGATGATAAATATCAAAGCTAAAGATAACTTCTGAAAGTTTATTAAATCCTCTTGAAGTAATTAGGCTTAGAAGATGAACGATAATACCAAAACAGGGCTACCAAGGCCTCAGTAAAGAATTTCATACAAATACTTGCATTTTCATTCCTCCATAGCTTCGTTAGTATTTAGTCCATATCTTTAAAACATTGCACATTTACTTATTTCTGTTAGTTCTTCAATATGACAGAGCTGAATGTTTCCTTAATATTGCCGATCATATATAATCAATGGTAGGCACTTATGAAAGTGGACTATTAAGTCCTGGTTTGGCAATTATAGCAGCTTTATCTATCTGTAGTGTACGTAATTGTCTGTGTTTGACAGCACAGGCTACATCTCGAGCATGTTAAGGCCTGGATTTTTCTGAAATATTTGAAAAATGATTTCTCAGTCACTATTTAATGTACAAAGGTGAAATTTGGTCTTCTCTTCATAATTGAGTTTCTCAAAGATTTGGTGGCGATTTTGAACACAGAAAGTGGTCATGTGACCATGATATTCTATAAAATGGTTCTAGCCGGCTCATTTTCAAATTTCTATTTTTTTGCCTTAACGGTCACGTGACCATTTTATGACACAATTTTCGCCACTAAACCATTGATCAGGCGAAATATGATTTCTGGAACAAATTTTAATTTTGTAGTTGAAAATGCAAGCAAGAAATTATTTTTTTAATTAAATTATCGAAATCCCAGGCCTTAACATGATTGAGATTAATATTAGTCCTGTCTGTAATGAACCTTGTGATTTTCTTTTGATTGTTAAGCTGAGAAAGCTTTGGAGTCAGTGGAAGGAACACCAAACTACAGTATAWTGTTAATGAACATCGCCAATTGTGATAGTGTTGATGTGAATATAAGAGTATCTGCTACAGTGACATTTAAAAATTTGGTCAAAAGAAACTGGAGAATTGTAAGTTGCAGTTGTTTAGAGTTGAGTATTTAATTTAAAATGATTTAGTTAGATATATTAAGTATCCATTTTTCATTAGATTGAAGGTGAACCAAATAAGATAAATGAAGCAGACAGAGCTGCAGGTAAATAAAGTATAATTCTGTTAGTCAAAACATCTAGTCCAAGACACAATCAAATATAATACATGATCCACAAACCATTGTCTAAGTCCTTRAAAAAAGATGTCAGTCATTAAAACGCTGTCAGAATTAAGGTTCCAAATTTATAGCAAATTTCTCCATTTTTACATGTATCTGTGCTCATTTGCATTGCATTTGGCACTTGAGATTCAAAAGAACTTAGTTATGAATACAATTGATTGATTGAGTTTGTTTGATTTTTACATTTTTTCTTGTTGCAGTAAAAGCCCAAATTGTTGACTTAATGTTAAAAAGTCCAGAAAAATTACAAAAACAGGTTAGTAAGATAAAGAAAATGAAGTGTTTTACTGTAATACTGACATTATAGAAATCATTACAACAGAGGGTTAAATATAAGTAATTGCATTGCATTGAGGTTTCATTAAATTGGGAACTTAGTATGTAGCTGTTCATAATAATGAGAATCCTAAGGGGCCACAAGCATCACTACCTTAATTTGCCAAAAGTAGCTGAAACAAAGGTCAACATAGACACCAGAATTTGACAGTTGCTGCATTCAAAATGATATCCTTGTTTGTAGCCACTAGGCAAGGTTTACACCAATACTCATAATATTATTATTCAGYATATAAGATATGATTTTATTATTTTGTTTGAAACTCTGTAGTACCTATTGATTGATATTCTTTAGTTAAGTGATGCCATCAGCATCATTGGTCATGAGGATTTCCCAAAAAACTGGGAAAGTTTATTACCAGTAAGTATATRAATGAAAAGATGATAAAATGTCAGTGTTCATTTGTAATTAAAGATTTAATAAAGAGAAACAAGTCATGTACAATTCTRCATTAACAAAACAAGTTCAGGGCAAAGAAAAATATCTTGAGGAAAATGCAYAAAGCAGTAGACAGAACTTGCATATATATTCAATGTGCTATTTGTACAATTATTTCATGGGTGAAGAAGTGAGACATTGAGATCTCAAGATATCATGACTAATTATGCAGTGATAGACTGAAGATTTGTCAAAGAAAATTGTCAGCATATTTTTCAACAAATGGAACCATTATTTGATTTAAAGGWATTGAATTGCTATGTGAAAGAAAGGGAATGGAAATAAATGAGCAAATGAAAAAAGGATGAAGAGAAAGACAGGTTCATTGATTTGTATGATTACATTGTCATTATTCCAGGACATGGTAAACAGGCTGGGYAGTGGTGATTTTCACATTATCAACGGAGTTCTAGTCACTGCACATTCCTTATTCAAAAGGTTAGCAGTCATATTGATTCATCCAAAAATAAAGATTGATGTAGATTTTTAAATCTAACATACTTGAAATAATATTAAGTCAAAATTTAGGAGTTGTAAGCAGTTTACATGTTGTGGTTATTTTACAACCAGTTGACCATTGACCATGTTATTAATTCAAAGTAAATTGTTATAAAGAGTAACCATACTAAGTGCAATGTAGCATGGACATCACATATTTTTAAAATCCATCTGAATTTTTTTACTAGGACTACCAAATCAATGTTGTTGAATATTACTGTTGATTTGCTGATAGAGCAGATTTGTAGAAAAATACRCAACTTTGTCACTTTAGATATCTTTCCTCAATTTCCTCAATAGATATCTTTCCTCAATTCGCCAAGGTTCCCTCATTACTCAGTTAATACTAAGCTAACAGATAGTTAAATGGTATTGCTTGACAGATATCGCCATGAGTTTAAATCACAAGAGCTCTGGGCAGAGATCAAATTTGTGTTGGAAAAATTTGCAGAACCTCTTACCAATTTATTTAAGGTATGTGGGTAGATAACCTTGATACCATGCTCTTTGGTTTAGTATTCCATATAAGGCCAACATAATCATAAGACCGATAATACTAATATATTATTTGTGTTGATATARAAAATATTAGGATCATGTAGATCTGGACATGAAGAATTATTTTGTTGTTGATACTATAGGCTATTTTAGAACAAGCAAATAAATGTGGAGAGGACAAAAATATGTTACAAATTGTGTTCAGTTCCATTCTTCTTATTTGCAAGCTGTTCTACAGTCTCAACTTCCAGGTTAGATAAGTTAACATATTTCTAAATATTTCTAAATTTCTGTGATTTACTGTTTGAAAAGTTAGCACCAATGAATCAATCATTATATTGATCAAATAATCATTCAAGTAATCAGTTAAAAAAAATTACTTAACTTCATGATCTATTTTATTCCAGGATCTTCCAGAGCATTTTGAGGACAACATGGAGGTCTGGATGAAAAACTTTCTGATTCTCTTGTCACTTGATAACAAGATACTTGACACTGGAGTAAGTGTTGATGATTTATAAGACATTTAAGTTATACATCAGCAACAATTAAAAGGCAAGGTACATTTTGTATTTTTATGCTTTAAATTAACAGTCATACCTTTTKTAGGATAATGAAGAAGCCAGTCTYTTGGAGCTTGTTAAATCACAAATATGTGATAACGTTGGACTTTATGCTCAGAAATATGATGAAGAATTTGAGGTGATCAGCTCACTAAAGACAATATCATTGCAATAGTATTACATGTAAATTAAGCTTTCARCATGATTGTATGTGTGTTATATTTACCAAATCATTCTGGTAGTTGTTAGTGTACTAAAATGATTGTGCCAATGTCTTATTTATTCTTTGATTCCAATCACAAGGCTACAGCATAGACATGACACCAATGTTCCATAGTTTCTACACACTCAGAAATCTGCTTTTAAGACACCTTAACTTGCAAAGTTGACAATTAAATCATAAATTTATTGTGTATTTACAGAAATACTTGCCTGATTTTGTAACAGCCATTTGGAACCTATTATTAACAACAGACTCAAATGTAAAACATGATTTGGTAGGTCAATTGTAATTTTTTTTTTTTATTTTTGAGTCTTACAAACATGTAAAGTTGGAATGATCCATTCCTTCTAAAACCCATGTTAAAGTAACTTTTTTTTCTACAGTTGGTCAGCAATGCTATTCAGTTTCTTGCATCTGTCTCACAAAGACCTAATTATAAACATCTGTTTGAGGCTCAAAATACTCTACAAAGTATTTGTGAGAAAGTTATCGTGCCCAACATGGAATTCAGAGGTATGGAAAACCTCTTTATAGTTAACAAAATGCATTATATAGGTCATAATATATATACTATAATCTCATACCTCAATTTTAAAGTTGTGCATTGATTGGTCAACACATCAACCGGGTGAGAGGGTATTTCAAGTGGAATCAACGCTGAGAAACCTGAATTCAACGCCCTGATAAGCTACCTTAGATCTGATTAAAACACTTGAGTTATTTCAACAATTTACTCACAAAATCTGTGTAAAACCCTGGCAAAATATATCTAATTGTTATCTAATTGTTTTAGTTCCCAACAACTTGTCTATTCCCTTTCTCAAGATTTCAAGAAGCAAAATATTTTCATTTTTTGCAAATTCAATAGCAAAAACAAAAAACACAATTAACTCRATAAAAGCGCCGTTTTCAAATGCTCATTTCTATCCTTTTTTGCCTTTTGTTTTAATGTACATACTTTTTTTCTCCTTTAAAAATTGAGGCATGAGATTCAAGGAAAAGTCATTGGTTTACTTGTGAATTCATTGACCTTGTCAGTGCCGCTGAAAACACGTTCTTTTGTTTATTACAGATGACGATGAGGAGATTTTTGAAGACAATCCCGAAGAGTACATTAGAAGAGACATTGAAGGATCTGGTAACTACATTATTTTATGCTACTGTTGGTACTGGTGAAGTACTTAATATAAGATCATGTCATGGGAAATGAGATCAGGAATCAGCATTATTTGGGATCAGGATCTCAAGTTTAGTTGGTGGATTGAGATTACATCTGTGATTTTGATTGTGGATCAGTTGTAAAAAAGTTATTAGTTTAATTTATGATCGCAAACAAAGATTTTGGCCCAAGAAAATGGGATCATCAACAACAAAAACATAAATTGTTACAACCCTGTTAATATGTTCAAGGGAATGCTCCTCGTTTTGATAATTGATTTTGCTTCAATCTCATTCAATCTCATGGCTTGCATGAAATGTTTAGAAATAATTTAAGGTTTACTCTATTTTAGATGTTGACACTAGGCGACGTGCAGCTTGTGACTTAGTGAGAGGACTGTCAAAGTTTCATGAGCAGCATGTGACAGGAATATTTCAACATTATGTTATGGTGCTGCTAGAGGTAGGCAGAATGCAATAAACTACATTGATAATACAGCAAATAAGTTCATATTGTGTCCTAAAGAGGTAATTGGTAATGTACTAGGCAAACTTTGTASATCTAACTCATAATTTAATTTCAAAAAGAGATTTTGGGATGTACACAGTGTTACAATGCTGTTTCACATATAATTCTAATGACCAGTATTGGTAATGAACAAAAAGAATAAGTGTATTGATGATAAATATTTTWAATTTTTATTTTTAGCAATATAAATCAACAAACCAAGAGAATTGGAAATCAAAAGATGCAGCTATATTTCTGGTCACTTCACTTGCTTCGAAAAAGCAAACTGCAAAGGTGGGAATGCAGTAATGATTTAGTGCATAAAATCTTCTTCTTTCATGGGATTGTACCAGCTCACCWGAGTCACTGTCACTGAGGATCAGTACCAGCTATAACAGCTGTCTGCAGGCTGGCTTAGTTTTGTTTGAGCATGATAGAGGTCACAGTCTTTAAGTTGTTTCATATACATGTATAAGTACATGTATAAAGGCTTGTTTTAATTTGATTATTATGTGTTTATTTGATCCAACATTTAACATTGCTTTGTCCTGCTTCTCATAAAGTTTGCTTGTTTGTTTTGGCTTTGCTCCTGTTTTCTCTCTCTTCTTTTTCAAATTATTTTGTATAAGACTGCTTAAATAAATCATTWAATTGAAATATCTCGCTTTGCAGCACGGAACCACAAAAGCCAGTGATTTTTTTGATTTGGGAGACTTCTTTGTAAAGTACATTCTACCAGAACTCCAAATAAAAGATGGTAATTATAATTTTATTCATTAGATATGAATAGCTGTATTTATTGGTTATTAGAAAACAGCTGCATTAACGATTTGTAGATTTGGAGTATCAAAATTATGCCAAACTAATGTTAGTRATAAAGTGGTGCTTTGTAGTTAATAATAGTCATTCATTGTTAGAATATGTTGTTTGTAGTTGATGCCCATCCTGTGTTAAAGGCTGATTCTATTAAATATGTCATTACCTTTAGAAGCATGGTAGGTTTTATTTTTCATTTTACTTGTATTTTTTACTGAATACTATGATTACACAAATTATAAGTTAGTCCATAATGTACTCTCTTTGACATCTTATATTAAATTTTGGCTGTTCCCAGCAGAGGATAGTATACTGAAACAAAATTAGGATTGTATTTGCTGCTTCTGTTATATGTTTGTTGTTGTATTTTCAAAATGAGTAGTTAGTTTTAGAATTTTATATTCATATCATACACCTGATTGCAAAACATTTTCCTGAGATTTAGAAACATTAGCCAATAGACAAAAGGAGTGAAACTTCTGTCTCTTCCATTTTGGTTAATTCCCAAAATGCTTTTTTTGACAATGTTTTGCAATTGGGTTTATCCCTATTTTATAGTTTAAATCATTTCAATGATTGTTGTTTGTATGGCCATGATTGAATATGATGGTGAACATGATACTGACAACTATGATGAATGCAGGTTAGGTACAA